GAGGAGAAGGAAGAGAGAGAGAGAGAAACATCAATAATGAGAGAGAAAAATTGAGTGGCTGCCTCTTGCATGCCCCCTACTGGGGACCGAGCCCCCAACCCCGGCATGTACCTGACCGGGAATTGAACCCTGACATCATGGTTCATGGGTCAATGCTTAACCACTGAGCCACACCAACCAGGTCATATCCCCCTCTTATTGCACCAACATCTGCACACGTGAATCAAGAGCTTCTTGATATTTTCACAGGTAATATTTGACCCATAAGGTTTTCACAAATGATCAGTACATGCTATATTTTCTTCTTTGTACATTTTATGACTTTTCTGGCTAAATCATTGTCCCTTTGCAGGGACATCTTCTCCATGCTATCTCCGCGCAGGGACCTAGGTTCAGTAAGGCTTCCCCATTGAATTATTACAGGTGATCGTGACCAGAGGTCCCACGGGCCACTGATCACCATTCATGAACAATGTCTACGCACTGTGCCATTCAGTATGACAGCCACTAGCCACATTCGGTTATCCAAATTTAAACCAATGAAAATTCAACAAATCAGCAATTCAGTCTGTCAGTTGCACTAGCCACATTATAAGCCTACCATATTGGACAAAACTATATGTAGAACATTTCCATTGTCACAGAAGGTTCTGTTGGACACTACTGGGCTCTCCTGTGTGCCCAGAGGTGAGGAAGAAGCAAATATTATGAAACTGTATAATGTCTACCATTTGGTAAACTATATTCTTGCAGATATTCCTGAGATGCTCTAAATGTGTTTTGTTATATTTTTGGAGGTGGGGGTTACAAGTGAGGAAAGTGATATATATATATACACACACATACACACATTGCTCCTATTCTGCAAGCAAAAGAAAACTTACGAAGCACACACTTGAAACTCACATTTTGTCAAAGGGGGGGGGCGGGGTGGCTTCCATTACATATCATTTGAAGGATGAATCTGTCCTGTGTTTGTGTGGCTCTGGAGAAGATATCCAGGAAAGAAACACCACAATTCCCATTGAGCTCAGAAAATGTGATTAAGGAATTTGAATGTAATTACCCAGAGTTTGGCTTTTCTTTTAAAGAACCCATTCATTTCAGAGATTCCTTGATACTGTAAATCTGACAACTACATCTAGTTTTTTCTGGAAGACTTCCACCGGGAACAGTGTGAGTCCAGGATGAGTACATAAAAAAGAAGCCCTGCAGCAAGCGCAGCCTGCACTGTATTGTGTTTTGACTTCAATCAGATTTTATCTGTGGCTGATGTGCAGAGGGGGTATTTCGTGGGATGTGCACGGCTCTGTTCGAGATTCCTATCTTACTGGATTGGTGTACGAGCTTATTTAACGGAATGGTTGGGGCAACAGGAACTCTATGTTCAAGCAAATCACGGCACTAAGAATAGAGTTGGGGAATTTTCTGTGTTTTCAGAGACAGAGTTCTCCTTACCCACAATTGATGGATTAGAATTCGACAAGTGAGAGGCAAACCTTCCTTTCTCTTCTAAATCACTTTTGTAAAATCCCCACAAAGCAAGTTACCCAGCAAAGTTTGTGACAGAAACTGTTAACCGGTTTTTCTTTTTTCTTTCTTTCTTTTTTTTCTGGTGTTTCTGCACTGTCTTGTCAAACATCTGGAAATCAGCGTATTTGCAGTCACCTCCCAGCATGATTTCACATTTACATCATTGTGCTAGTTGGTAAAAGTTGTTCTCTCCTTTCTCTCTCTCTCTCTCTCTCTCTCTCTCTCTCTCTCTCTCTCTCTCTCTCTCTTCTTTAAGAAAAAGAATCAGCAACTTTTGGTCTGTCACAAGGTCAAGTGATGATTAGTGATGCAGTCTCCCCTAAACACATGTTTAACTCAGAAAAGTTAAATCAGTTTCCAAAAATTTGGTAACTATTAGAGTACTTCCTAAGTCACTTCCGATGTCAGACCCAAGGTGCAGGGAGTCAGGGCTATACTGAGTGCTCGGCAGTTCTCTACCAAAGGGACTTAATTTGGCAGCTGATCCAGCCAAGGAAGCACTCATGCAATCACATAACCAGACAGGAAGGGGCTGTTTTGATAGCGGATCATGAGATCAGGCAAAGAGCTGTGAACTTTATATGTCGCCTAGGCCATGGAGCGGTAGGCCAGGCACCTGGGGGTGGAGAATAAGAAAGGAAATTAAAGGAGGGAAGCAGTGTAACATACACACAGTTTTCTCTCTCAAAAGAGGCATGCTAAAAATGAGGGGATTCTTTGACATAGAGGAGCATGAGTAATGAATTTAGTTATTGTTTTTTTTGGTTTTTCTTGGTGAAACATTCCACCGTCATGATTCACCTTTACATGCTTAGGGTGATGGTTTGCAAAGACTGCAAGAGCTGTCCCCATCAGTGCTGCCTCCTCTTTATAGCTCTCCCAGGAGCTGTCTTCCGCGGGAAACACTGCATGGAGCAAAGGTTGTACTTTTGGGAGATGGACGTTTTATAATAATACGTTTTGACAACTTGCTCTGGTCGCCATGTGTCTCCCAGGCCTGCCAGTGGGTGGGTGCTTGTCAGGAGCGGGGGTATGTCTGAGAAGGGCTGCTTTATAGCAGCCAGACTCTACGCTCAACTTCCAGGGCCACGAGTCTCCTCCGAGCCCGCGGGAAGCAGAGCAGAAGAGCCGCGCGGCTCCTGGGTGTGACTCTGAGGCAGTGCTGAGCCTCAGCTTTAGAGCCTGGGAATGACACCTTTCGATCTCCCATGAACTTCTCCTTGGACTCCTGTGCCCATATTTAGAAACTACAGTGTGATTAATTTCTTTTGTAGGGCCACCCTTCAAGGTCTCTGGAAGCCATTTTTGTGACTAGGGCAGACACGGCCAATCATTAAATTACATCCATGCCTGCATGGGACAAATGCTGCCAAGACTTTTCTCTCTATCGAGGGTGCTCCTCGGTTTGTTGTTTGTGAGGGCAGCATTGTGTTCCACAGCAGTGTCGCCTCCTCTCTGCTCTGTGGCTCAGACAGCTGACAGTTCCCGGCAGGGCACGTGGATGACGCCCTTATAGCATCCATCCAGTTCTGATCACGTATTAGGTGGACAGCTGAAATACTCACACTCAACTTGACTAAGTTTTTATGGCTAATTCTAAATTTTACTATAAACACCTTTTTCTCTTACTAATTCTCTGACTTATAGAGCTTCTTAAGATCCAACAATTGAAAAAATATCTTCCCAATTAATTATGAGAAACTGATCTGGTACAATTTCCTTTATTATCATTGATTCTCTTGTATCCAAAAGAATAATCAATACAACCCAGGGAACCCCATTTATCAGAATAACCACAAAACTGATTTTGAATGACCTCTGGCCTAGAGCACTGCAGCAAATTGGTCCCACAAATATCAGTCTCTCTGACCTGCCTCTCCTCCCCACCGCCCGTTTGTCCTGTATGACTCCCATAGCGTCTTCTTCTCCAAATGTTACGTTGATGACATCACTCCTGTTTTCCAGGACCTTTGAGGGTATCCCATTCTGCAACAGGGAGTCTCAGTACTTTGATTGACGAGTCACGATTCTCGCCAGGTTTCTTTGCAGCCCTTCTATGGGCACCTACACTCGCGTCAAATGGACCTTGTTAGTTGAGTTGGGTTCCAGGCAGTTTAGGTCCTGGCTCCTCACTTCAGCATCCAGAAAGGCTTCTCCTGGGGTCTTAGGAGAGTTTTTTTTTCATGAGGTCGGAGTCAGACCAGGGTTCTGGTAGAAACAGGAAAAGCGGGAGGCTGTTGTCTGCTGTTAGATTCAGGAAGCGTTCATCACTTTGATGGATGCTCATTCTTTAGTTATGCTTTCAGTTTTATTTTAATAAAACTTTAGTGGAGGAAACTGGTGTTCTTGGGCAGATGTGACTTTGCCTCAGAGGGGGGCTCCTCTTTGTGAGATCGAGGTCCTTGTCATGCCATCAGCTTTCACAGACAATAACCAATAAAATGCCAACAAAGTTGAAACCGCAGCAGGCCTTGGCTTCCAGGCAGGAGTGCTGTTTTGACTGCTGTGTAGCATCATGTGTTGGGCTAAGTGTCACCCATGGTTTCTTTCTCGAGTCCAGGCCATGCACCCTCTGTCACAGGCAGGTGGATAGGAGATAGGTTTTCGGTTTGTCATTAGAAAAGTTAGCATCAATTTTGGAAGCCATGGACTCAACTCTCTGCTTGTTAATCTGCTCGCCAGGCTCTGGTCTGATTGTGTTATCTAAAGGGCAATTTCCTATCTACACTCGTATTCAAGATTCCTGGAACTTTTTGCCATAATCTAGATCTATCTTCCTATGAAAAGGGATTTTTCTGTGTTTTACCTGAGTCCTGTTAGCTCATTAATGTTCTCAGAAAACTTATTTACAATAATTTAATAATACTTTGAATGTATGAGGAATTGCATCAACCCTATAATATATTCAGGAAAGATATACTAGTAAATCCCATTTTACAGATGAAGAAATTAAGGTTCAGAATGTTAGGCGATTTAGCCAAGGTAAACCAGTAAGTGGTGGACATAGGACTGGAGCCCACGTTTCCTGACTCCTCCCACTCTTTCCTGTGTTCTCCTTCTGTAAGTGATGCCATTTTAGTATTTGACTCATGTGTGACATCTCTTGTTGTATAAGATTGTTTGGAATCCTAGATTCTAGAGTAAACTCTGCTACTAACCAGCTAAGCTGACTTTTAGCAAGTCCATTTAAACTTTTTCTTAGAGTAATTCTAGGATCATTACCAGTGAAAAAATATAAAGTATTTATAAGTTTATGACTCTGGTTACATTTAAGTGTAGTAACAGTCATATCACAGACATTAGTTCTCACCGGGAATTTTTCGTTTTATTTCTTTTTTAAAAAAATATATGTTTTTATTGCTATCACCTAGGAAGAGAGGAAGAGAGAGATAGAAACATCAATGATAAGGGAGAATCATGGACCGGCTGTCTCCCTCACGCCCCACACTGGGACTCAAGCCCGCAACTCAGGCATACGCCCTGACCGGGAATCGAACCACAACCTCCTGATTGATGCTCAACCACTAAGCTATGAGGGCTGCATTTATTTCTTAATAACTTCACTGAAACAACAGGTGAGAAGGAGAGTTTCTGGCTTTGATTGTTTCAAAGCTATTGTTATTTTCACTTATCTCCTGTGGCTCTTCTTTGGTCTTACTAAGCTTGGAATTAGGTGTCGAAATCCGTAAGCTGGAGGGTACAAATTACTATTCAGTAGGCAAACTCATAATCTATCTTACATTGTGGAAGCAAAATTCTATCCCAGACTCTTACAGTTACGTGTGAAAAATTGGTGTTTGAGATTTCAAAATAAATCCTAAGCGTTGGAGTTCTCTTCCACCTTCACTAACTTATTATTTCGACATAAAGGCCTTTCTTCCTCCAGGCCTGTGCGCCCCAGGCCTTTTCAGCATCGTGGTCTGCACTTCTCTGTTTTTCTTTCCCTGGGAGTGCTGATTAGTGACTTGCGGTGTGGATTCTGATTTATCGCAGACCAGAGCCGCCCCTTAGGGGCTGAGCAGAAACACTCATGAAGGAGCCCTGATTAAAAAGAGTGGTAATGAAGACAAATGTTTCAGAGGGAGTTGAGAGAAAACCAGTGCTTGGCACTCCCGCAGCTCCTCGGAGCTTTTGAGAAGGAGGCGGTGGTAGCCAAAGGAAATATTTCCCCTTTGTTGTTTATTTCTCACGGCACTGGAAACATTTTTCTTTTCCTCCTGGGTGTCCTAATTCTCACTTGTTAACTGCTTTTCATGCAGGGTTGCAATTAACCCCTGGCAGATTCCTCACCAGGTTCCCCTTATAGCCACTCCATCGCCAAAGAAGTTTTTAATGCTTTGACCTATAACCATTTTTAAATTCTTCAGACTTGACACTTTTGCCTAATTTCTCAGATCATTAAGTCACACTTCTAGGTCATCCCCCTCCCCCCTACCCCCTTAGTGATTTTTACTAAATTTGATGTTAGGTGCCTATAATCATTTTCCCTTCCTCTGGTTTTTACAAGACAGAATGCCAGTAGAAAAAAACAAATTCCCATTCACTTGATAATTTTAGTCACAACTAGGTCAAAAGTTTCAAACCAAGTGTATATGCCCATAACTAAGGACACCATTCCAGCATCACTTGAGTTCAGGTGGGAACTCTGCAAATACCCGCCATTGCTTGGTCTGCGTCTTTGGGCATCTGCCAAAGCAGTAGTCCCATCATCTGTGGCTACATGAGCTGTAATCCACAGCCCTGCTCAAGCCTCACCAAAATCTACCTTCTTTCAGAAGGTTCCCTAACGCTGGGATTAATGCTAAAGATATAGATGATTTCTGACAGGCTCATGCAATGAGTCTCTGAACAACACTGTAGGGTCAAAATACCACATCCAAAACACTTAGGGATGGAGAAGGATAAAGTAATGTGGAAGCTATGGAGTATTTGGTGAGCAAGAGCAAAGCTCCATGCGTCTACCTGGTTAGTGTGCTCCATAGTGTGTTCAGTGCTGAGGAGGCAAGGTGCACAGAAGGAAAGACTAGAAATAGAGGAGAGAGCCCACCCCTTTGAACTCTGTCAATAGAGGCTCCTTAGCAGGTCCACATTGATTAACTGGAAAATATCAAAGAACCCAAGCAAAGTTCAGGAAATGCCGCCACCCCTGATTCATTCGGCCTACTGAAATGTTTGATTTCCAGAAGCGGGTAATAGTTTCTGATCCAATCAAGTGATTCATTCTTGTGGAGAAGATCTCAGTGTACTTAGAGAACCTTATGAAATATCCAAAATCAAAGGGAAATTTTAAATCTCATCTAATCAGAAAAACAAAGCTGATACAAAGGTAGAAGTCATCCTTATGGCCTTTCTGGCATTTCTGCTTCTGACTTAAGGCAAAACAAAAACAAAGAAATGAGTAACAAAAGCAACAACAGCAATAAATTATGAGTGTCATGCTTCTCAGCTATTCGGGAGAATTTGAAGTTGTCCCATTCTGAAGAACATATGAGATTAAAGATCAACAACATGGAAGATTAAAGAGCACTCATTGAGAGAAGACTTGGGCGAAACCTTTCACATTGAGGTTGTTTCTATTGAGGTTTGGTCTTCTGAACTCTTCTCCAACTCTAAAGGAAAGGTCAAGGGCTGAGTCTAGGCTAACTGATGTCAAGAGCAGGGGCTGTAGGAAAGGCCAAAAAATTGCTGCAGCTCATCTGGAAACAGATGAAGATTTAGGCTGCTGGACTTAAGTGCCAAGTTTATAGGATTACTTTAGGATCGTGCTCCAGCGTATTAGAATTCCATGAACATTTGAGCCATTTGACATTACTTCTCTGTTAACTGGGGAAGAAAGACTCTTAGTAATTTCCAAGACTGAACAGAATTCCCCCTCAAGTACTGATGGACTTGTCCTGGTCTTAAATATTGGCATGCGGTTCTTTATTTTTCCTGGCTTCAGACAGGCATATTAAGATTTCATGGATATCTGAATCTTTCTTTGAGTATCTGGGAACACATCAGAGAAACCAGATAGACAAGAGGGAAAAGGAAATAGGCTATTTCCTTAGCCCTTTGAAGCAAATGAATTGGAAGGCTGCTTTCTGTGACGTTCATTGGCCCACAACTGCCTGGAATCTGTAAAAACACCACCTTTTTTTCGTTACTATGTAATATTTAACAAAGTATTTCATAGACATATTTAGCATGATTTTCTCCCAGCATCCATGGAGCAGAGTTGGAGGGACTGAAGCATTGGATGGCTATGAAGTAATTTGAGATTGAAGGAGATACTGCTGAAGGAATTACACACAGAAAGTGAGAGGTAGAGTTTGCTTGATTTGGAAAATAAGTATTAAATTTATTTATTTATTTATTTTTGAAAATGAGTATTTTAAATAGTCTGCTTCAGTCCAGTGTGGATGGCTAGTATAATTAGATAGGAGTCAAGTTCAGAACAAACACTGACAAAGGACATATAATTTCATAGTAGGAAGATTAAGGTCAATAATAATAGTGAACATTTATTGATTTAAAAATATATGTTAGGGAAATTCACAAATAATCTGCAATAACTTGAAATGCATACCCTTTGGAACACTTCCTTTTCTCATGTATAAATTAAAATGTTTGCTGCCTTTTGCAAAATGTCAGTTCTCCAAAATGTGTCCATGTATTTTTACTACACCTGCAGTGTAGTAAAGCTTTAGATGAAACCCCATAATTATAGTGGCATACTGTCACTTAGGTTCCAAGCAGCAAAATAAACAGTGCCGCTCAGAAATTGTAAAAAAAAAAAATTAAAAAAAAATGTCTTAGGCACTGTGCTCAGTACTTTATGAGTGTTATTTCATTTAATCCCTATTTTATAAATTAGGAAATTGAGGTTTTGGCAGAATTTGACAGGCTGGTTAGCCAGGGCTCAAAACCAGGCATGTCCAACTCCAGAGCCCTCACTCTCTATACCACGCTCCACTATCTTTCTGTGTGTCTTCAGTCAGTCAGTCCATTTATATAATGTGAGAGCTGCAATTTCTAGGTTCTTTTGTCTCTTAAATTGTAGAAAACTATATAAAGTTGTGAGGACTTTATTATGGTGAGACATTTAGAGAGAAACTGAAGTCGTGATTGTATTGGCATTTCAAGTTAATAATACCTACCATCGATCGAGTATATACTGTATACCAGGCACCGTGTAACTAAATTACAAACAGATAAATTAATCCTCAAAACAATCCTTTTGACATATGTTTATTGTCCCAAAGAAATTTCATAGTTATTCATAAAGAGTTGGCCACATCAAAGACGTAAAAGAGAGTTGTTTAGATTTCAAAGGGCTTTAGTTATCATAGGACACCACTGTGGCTATTGAAAGTAATAAAAAATTGGAATCATGAAGAAACAAGAAAGTTTCTCCAGATTAGTATCTGTTTTTCTCATGCAATCTTTTGAAGAAAACATTTTTTAAAATAAGTAAAAGTGATATTTTTTGTCTTTAAAATTTGAATTCATATTCTCAGACTTCTCTCTTGAAAATAGTTTCACATTACAGGTAAGAAGTTTCCAGTAGTTTGGACTATCTGAGACAGAACAACTAACCTGTGTGTGAAGCACCCTGTTTCAGACTTCTCATATTGACACTATGAGATACTCGGTACTATCTCTGTTATAACAGATGCTTATAAATATGGAGTTGTTTCTTCATAACTGGTACTTTTTGTCACTTAGCTCTAATTTGCTTAATTCAAGGACACATACTGGGGAGCTAGTTTAAGGATGACTTTGCTGCAATAATCAGATTATCTTAGTGTCATATCACCATAGTAGCCTGAAATGTGATTTTATTCCTTTAGTTAGCATACCATCTCATTGGAAATATTACAAGCAAGCTATTGACCAAATTTAGTCCCAAGTTCATCTGTTCTTTAGCAGGAATAGCTGGAAGATTCTCAGTACTTCCAGAGATCTCAAGAGAAATGCCCTGTTTTGTATCTGATCAGCTATCTTCTCACCTTGAAGTCCCGTGTATTTGCTATAGCAGGACTTGGCAAACTACTGTCACCTCCTGTTTACGGACAGCCCACAGGTTATGAATGGTTTTCACACCCTGGCCAGTTTGTCTCAGTGAATGTCAACTTGTCAATTAAAGGGTCACAGGTTCAATTCCTGTCAAGGGCATGTACCTTGGTTGCTTTCTCTAAAAAATCAATGGAAAAATGTCCTTGGGTGAGGATTAACAATAACAACAACAACAACAACAACAAAATGAAAAGAAACAATGATTTTCAATGATAGAAAATAAAGAAAAGAAAAATATTTTATTAAACCTGAAAATTATTGAAATTCAAGTTTTAGTGGTCATAAATAACATTTTAATGCACTACAACCACATTCCTTCACTTATGTATTGTCCATGGCTGCTTTCTTGCTATGATCACAAAGTTGAGTAGTTTGTAACAGAGACCATATGGCCTAATGATGCTTCCTATCTGGCTCATTATAGAAAATTTTGTTGACCACCGACGATAAGATCAGGTCCAAACTCTTTCCCAGCATAGCATACAAAACCTTTATGACTGGCTCCTGCTACCTGACTGCTTCATCGTCTCCACTCCTCTCTGGTAAACAGCCTGAGCTCTACCCGTTCTGAACTAACCATTCTGAACTACTAGAACTTCTTACACTCTGACATGCTTTCTGCACACCTAAGTATTTTCCTCTGTTATTCCCTTTACACAAAATCATTCCTTTCCATCCTGAGAATCCCTGACAAATTCCCATTTGTCTTCCAATATTTTGGCTTAAGCATCCCCTCCCTTCTCTGCAGCCTAACACCCTGTGCTCTGTTCCCACCTTCCACTCCTTCACTAGACAGTAAGCTTTTGGAAGGCAGATATTGTCTCTTGTTCGACTTTTTATCCTTCCTACAGGGTTTCTCAACCTCATCACTATCGGCATTTTTTACTGGATAATTCTTCATTGTGGGAGCTGTCTTGTTCATTGTAGGATGTTTAGCAGCATCTCCAACTTCCAGCCAATAAATACTAGGTGATCCCTTTTCCCCAGGCATGCCAATCAAAAAAGTCTGCAAACATTGTCAAGTGTCCCCTGGTGGACAAAATTGTCCCCATTTGAGAACCACTGACCTAGTGTCTTGCATAGTCACTAACCCGTAGTAGACACTGAGTAAATGTTGAATTCTGTAGTAAAAGACTTGATTCGTTCGAATTGTACACTTCAAATGGATGATTTGTATGATGTACTATTTATAGCTCAACAAGGCTGTTTTTAATAAAAAGACTTGGTTTACTAACAGCTATTATTAGTGACATTATTATTGTGGGGGTTTTGGTGTTCAAGAATAATTGCCAGAGCAACTGATTGTGTCATGTACTATACTTGTTGATGCCAAAGACACATTATCTCATTTAATACCGATTCCAGACCTGGGAGGTTGACTTCATCTTTTCCTCTTTCTTTGTTGGTACATGCAGAGGCAGAAAAGATTCAGTAACTTGCTCAAAAGTCTCTACTCTTATCTGGTTTCAATGCCTATCTTTGTATCACTTGACCATGTTGCTTCCACAAGCCAGATATTTGCCACAAGAATTCTAACTTCCAGGTTAAGTGAAAATGCACTTAACTACCAAAGACAATGTGTTTACAGAGCAGATATGAGCAGTTTCTAAATAGCAGGAGCATTATTTTTGTTCAAAATGGTAAACACTGTTTCTTATCAGTAGAATTACCTACATACCCTGTGGACTATGGTAGGTTTTGTTTTGTTGTAGTTGTAGCTGCTTGGGTTGGTTTGTTTTCTTTGAGTCTACCAAGGGGCCACTTTTTATTTTCTTCCAGGTTCTTAGATCCTCCAGTGGTGGGCTATATATTCTGAAACATTATAAAAATCTAATATTTAGCCTAAAAAAACAAAAAGAAAATTGACAGGTGGAATTACCAGTTCTGTCTTTCACTTTGCCTTGGAGCAATGGCATTAAAGCAAATGTAATCCAAGACTGGTCATCTTCTGACCAGTACTGGGCAGGGGAACTTTCTGCAGTGATGGAAATGCAGAAGGTCTGTGCTGTCTGGTATGATAGCCATATGTAGCGATTGAGCACTGGACATGTGACTCATGTAACTGATAAACTGGATTTTTGATTCGTTTAATTTATTGACATTTAAATAGCACAACTTTAGACATCTTAACTTTGACGAAACCACAAACCTAAGCTTAACCCCAGAAAATATATTAGGGGTCAGAGACCCTGGTTTCAGATTGAATAAATTACCTGTGGTGAATACATATAGAAAGGGTAGGAATATCTACTTTCACAGTACAATTTAAAAGGTTACTGGTATACCTCAGCTGTGATTGGTAGGAAGACAAAATTTCTCTATGGGGGATGGGGGGTTAAACTCACATTGCATTGTTACTTTAACATTTATGAACACCTAGCAAACCATTTTGTGTTTTTCTCTTGACTTGAGTGTTAGTGATAAAATAAATTATCCATTTAGGGGCAATGTTGAGACATTGAGGAATAAAGTGGAAAATGTGGTGTATTTGATTGTTTTGGGTATTTAAGAATTATTGGTTGAGTAAGAGATTTTTGCTTTGTTGAAATTCTCGAATTTTTTTTTTACTAAAACATTTCTTTTTTTGCTCTTGGTCCAAATGACAACTACATTTAGTAATTTAACAGTAAACTAACAAAATTTTTCTTCCCTTGGTAGATTGCTAAGTATTTTCAGAAGATTCAATGCTTTGGGATATTCTTTTTATACCCATAATATTTTAATTTTGATAAAGAAAATAAAAATGTCATTAAGTTGATATATTTTCATTTCAAATGCCATCCTAAATTAGCTCTAATCTTTGGCAAGTTATAGTTAAACCCATTTTATGCTTTTGCTTGTATCTGTTCATTAAATGTATTAGGTCTCAAAAAAAAAAAAAAAGCGCAACTCAATTATAATGGAGACAGACATCAGCTTTATTTTTTTTTTTGGATCTTCAAGAATTATCACTTTTAAAAAAAGCAACTCAATTATAATGGAGACAGACATCAGCTTTTTTTTTTTTTGGATCTTCAAGAATTATGACTTTTTACTTACATTTACTTTGCCCCAGCACTTACCTTATATTAATTGCTAGTGATTGAAGTTTTAAAATATAGATGCATTCTTCACTTGTCTTGGCCCAAAGGCCAAGAAGTAATAGATGCGTTCATACAGATTATACATTATTCTCCTCAGTATTACATATGACCTAATCTAACAATTTGGATGATTTAAAAAATAATTTTTAAGATATGTTTTTCCCTTCCCCATGTCCTGCCTTGCTCCTTGAAAGGAAGTGTGATGAAGTTACAGATGTTTGGGATCTGGCTGCAAGAGGTTCACAAATACTGTTTCCATACTGTGGTTTTGGTATTTCCCCTTGCACATGTGTCTTCTTTAGTTTTTTACTCACTCTGTCAAGAGAGAGAGAATTGGCTGCTCTATTTGTACACTGATATCAGGTGGGCTCAGTGGAGGCTTTGTCTATGGCAGAAACCAGAATGTCCAGGAGTTGGTGAGCTAATGAAGAAATGTCTTTCAAAGGATTTCCATGTGGAATACTCACCTAGAAAGATGTAGTGCTATTATT